CGCCGGCGCAAAGAGGCTCCGCAGCGCAGCTCTCCAGCGTTAGTTTATTGCAGCGCGAACCACGCGCTGGAACTACAGTTAGGGCAGTACAGTTACTCGGTTTGACAGCGTCACAGCTCAATACAGTACAACAGAGTCAGCTGGTACAAAATACACTATTGGCTTCATAAAGTTTAACGCTACAGTATGAAATACCCTGACTTGCTCATTCTGAGAGACAGGGATTGGCCTCAAGAGCAGGATGAAGGGCCCGGAGCACAGGGAGCTGCCTGGAGCAGCCACAGTGCAGCCCAGGTGCATCCCACGCATCCTGGCCGGCACCCAGGCATCACGGCGCTCGCTTTTAGTCCCCAGTAGCTCTATCGCTGTGGCTGGGCAGAACTACCACAAGGGCAGTGTAACCAGAGGCAACACATTCCTCACCCCTGCCCACAAAGTACACAGTGAAACCAGGCACCTCGCACCACAGGACGCTTAAGGCAGCCTTTTAAAGAGGGCAGGGGAAGGAAACAAGAGCATCTCTAAACCCAGAGTGCACAGAGAGCCGTGGCCATCCTGCAGCCTCACCCCAGAGCCTGCTCTTGCAGCGGAGCAAAGCGGCACCAAGGGAACCTTCAGCCTCACTGGAACAGCAGCAGCTCCTGCACTGGGCAGGTGAGAGCTTTGTGCTTCTGGAGGAACCCTTAAACCCAGGATCTTGTCCAAGCAGGCTGCTTGTCCTGACGCACACAGAGGGCCGAGGAGCATGCGTGCATGCATGCATCCCTGCGTCCCAGCTGCGGCCACGAGGAAGAGCGCCGCATCCCACGGCCGGAGCTTCCAGCACGGAGCGGCTCACTGCAAGGGGAGGTTTGAGCAAGGAGGCTGGTCTGCCCCTGGGGAAGAGCAGGGGGCTCTCGCCTGCCTCCCGGAGCCGGGGAGCAGCTCTGCACCGTGCCCGACTGGCTGCCTGCAGCTTCAGCCTGCTCGTCTGCCCCAGCCACCTACCCAAAGCACCTCAGCTGGCATGTTTCTGCAATATGGCTATTTGCATGATCCTAGGAAAGAAAAATTCAACATTTGATGGGTGAATTATAAAAAAAAACAAGTTTATTTGAAAAAAATACTCAGCCTCTTACAAGATTTCTGATCAACATTTACTAGAACTTGAGAGCCATTAACCTGCTAGTCACAGGCAGTCTGCTCCACGTACGTTGAGATATTTTCCCGCACTAAAAAATAAAAAATAAATACGTACAAACAAATCCTTTCCTCCCCTTGTGGGTCCTAGATGTCAGTAAGGCAGTGCCTAACCAGATCTTAGTTGAACAGAAGCAAGTAAAAGAGGTTTTTTTCCTAATAGATAAAACAGTGAAAGCAGAATACCTGTCTCAGGGATGCGCTCGGGGTGGTCGGGTCCGGCCGGCCCCTTCGCCCGCAGAGGCCGAGCGCCCGCAGCAGGTCCCTGCCCCGGTACCGCTCGCTGCGTTGGCACTGGGCAGAGCAGCACAGGAGCCGAGCGCCGGCCCTGCCTGCTCTCAGCGCCAGCTGTCCTTTCCAACCCCATTATCCCATGAGAACGAAACTACGGAAGAGGAATTTTTAAAGAACTACAGTAGCTAAAGTGTTTTCAAAACATATCTAGAGACCAGCTACAGAGTGAGGAGGCATCTGGCACATGAGCTGGAGACTCCCCTATTCCATGTCCAGATTTCCCCCTCCACGAGAGCCTGCAGTAAGAAGCGTGTGAAGCAGGATTCATTCGGGCTTGGCCCTGAAGCCCATCGTGCCTTGACAAGTCCAGTATCCAGCTTTTTATGGCTTTTTAACAAACCCTCCAATACAAACACACGCGCGCACACACACGCACACCAGAGCCCAAGCAGAATACAAAACTAAAGCCTGGTTTACAGGGCAGAGTTAAGGCTCCTCCAGAATCAGCTAGATATGAAGACCTAAGGCACATATTAGTACATTCATGTTACTGTTAAAAAGCCAGAATATAAAAGTCCCCTCCCTCCCCAGCACGCGAGGATACTGCACATGTAGCTGTTACCTACACTGATGGAAAGACAGTTCAGAGCCTGGCTAAAAATGAACACCTGGTTTAGACCCTTCTCACTGCCGCTCAGCGCCAGCAGAGCACTTCCCCAGCACCATTTCAGGGCAACGGTGCTTCCCCGACACGCGGGGTTAAAACCAGTCCCTCACATGTGGCTCTCCTCCTCTTTGACGCCGTCTTCCGTGGTCTTCTGCGGCAGGGTGGCCACATCGTTGTTCGCCTCTTTCTGCTTCTCGGCCTCGTCCAGGTTGGTCTCCTCCTCTTTCCTTTTTTTCCGCCTTCTGCTCCTTGGCCACGAGGCGGTAGTTGATACCCATGCCGATGAACAGGTAGATGCCAGACACGATGAGGATGACCCCACAGGCCCAGTATGTGTACTTGTAGTCCCCGTACATGTCGTTGAGTTTACCTGGTGGACAGAGAGCAGACAGTTCAGCCAACCCAGGGTTTCCCACACACAGGCCCCCACTCCAGCTCCTCACCCAGCTGGGCATGAGGGACAGAGACCAACTCATGCAGTGACACCCGCGGCTGTGATGACACTCTACCTAGCAGAGGGGGTCCCAGAAGCACCGGGCAGCACTCCACAATAGTCACGAGGCCAACGGCGCTGGAGAACCTCTGCGCTCCCACGAGGTCCATCAGGGTTTCAAACAAGACGGAGCTAAGCCAGCCAAAGGCAAAGCCAAAGAACCCAGCATAAATGCAGAATCCAGCATAGCTGGTAGACATGGGGGCCAGGAGGTGGCACACCCCGTTGTAGATCACAGAGATGGCAAAGAAGTACTGAACTCTGGGCCTGATCCACTTGGTGTTGGCAACCAGGCCCATGGAAGGTCTGGCTACCATGTCTACAAAGGCCAAGATTGAGAGCAAGAAGGCTGCAGACTCATTAGGAATCTTCTTGCTCTTTGCATAATTGCTGAGGAAGACCAAGGGAGTGAACAGTCCAAAGAACATGATCACATTGCCCGACAGATAGAGCAAGAAGCCTCTGTGCGTGAACAGGGACAGATCCAGGAACTTGTTGACTGTCTGGAAAAGTGTGCCCTTCTGCTTCTTGGACTTTCCACCAATGAGGTCTGTGTTGGTGTCACCAGCTCCATCATCTTTTTTCACTGCTTTCCCAGCTTCCTGCAGCACCTCTTTAGTAGCCTCTTTCTTCAGCTGATCTGGCTTGGGGCCTATGGGCCGCATCAGAGATCCAGCTACGCAGCAGTTCAGCAAGAGACCACCAAGGATCAAGAAGCTCCCTCGCCAGCCAAAGATGCCAAAGAAGAGCTGATTCACGGGTGCCAAGGTGGACAGGAACACAGGGCTACCTGCCATAGCAAGTCCATTAGCCAAGGGACGCTTCTTGAAGAAGTACTTGCCAATCATGGTTAAGGCTGGGTTCAAGTTAAATGCAAGTCCAAGGCCTGAGAAAGTAAGAGGGGAGAGATAAGGGGCTCAGTGTGTGCAAGTCAACAGTGCTCAAAGAGGGACTGAGTAAACCGAGGCAGATGGGACAGTTCTCAGCATTTAATATGACTTTTACTCTGCTAACTTTCAGGTTGCACAAGCAATATTCTGCCTCCTCACTACTCCTTCCTTGAGGCGGGAGCCAGGGCAGTAACAGAGTCATGCACAAGGGAGTCCAAAGGAGAGCAGCGCTGTGAGTCATAAACTTTACTTCCCTGGTGTGGCATAATTCTGAGACGGGAGTAATTGAAGGCTTTGCACTGTAAGCAGCCAGATATTAATGCCTGAGTACTTGCATTCTTCCTGCATTATGTGACCGCGGGCAGCCCTTATTAGGATAGGCAAAGGGAATTAGGACTTATGCAAATTTATCATAGACATTTCGTGAATAATTGCTAGGTGCAAGTTGCTCCTCCTACTGCCTCGGAAGATAACTTATCTCAGCCCCATTCATCCCATTCACGCCGGCACTTACCCCCCACGACCCCGACGCAGAAGTAGAGCTCCTCCACGGTGTTGCAGAAGGAGGCCGCAATGAGGCCGCAGCCCGAGAGGCAGCGGCCCGCGGTCCAGAAGGGGCGGGGGTTTTTGCCGTACTTGTTCACCAGGATGCTGCTGATGGGGCCTGGGGAGTCAAAGGAGACATGCCCAGAGATGAGACTTGTCTGCACAACACACAAATACTTGCAAGTGCACAGAAGATTTATTGTCATAGGCTTCTAATTTTTGCACAGTGACACCTCATGCAGCCATGGAATGGATTAAGGGGAGAGAAACAAGAGGGCGGGAGACAGCTGGAGATAAGGGAGTGACATTTGGGTAAAAGAACACACTGAAATCCCAGCTGGAAGAGCATGACTCCCACAAGTACCGGTGTGCTGCGGCTTTTGCAGAGCACCAAAGATAAGCTCATGCTGGAGAAAGCTGCAGCCCACAGGCCAGACCTGGGGGGTTGCTGGGGCACCGAGCTGCCCTGCAGAACCTTGCACTGGGAAGATGCTCCTGCCCTGCAAGGCTCCATGCCCCAGCAGGGGTGGCACAGGGTGGCACAGCCACCCAGGAGCATCAGTCCCTCCTGCCCTCGTTCCCAGGGATCGGGGCGGCCGAGGCAGCACGTGCCCCGCGGGGGCTGCGGCAGAGGGGGACACAGGGAGGGAGCCGCAGGCGCCCGCGCGGCCTCGGTGCTGCCTTCCTTAGTGCCCTTGAGGCAGGAGAAGCCCAGTTGCTCTGTGCTGCCTTTTAAGTGCTTCATTATCAAGAGCCTTAATCCAAAGCAAACAGCGATTAGATACTGTAGAGCATGCTCTACAGACACTAAAATGTATTTAAATAAACTGAATGAACATCCATTGAATATTAACAGATGTAGTTTTACCATTAACAGCTAGCAAGGTTGTCAACATGTTATTCATGGGTCCTCACACTACTTGACCTTTTTGCCTAGTTTAAACAGTGCCTGGAAAAGGCTGGAATAGCTCTGCCGGGCAGCCAGAGCAAGGCCCTCCGGAGCCCCGCGGCGCCCGCCCGCAGCCTCAGCTCCAGCCTCATCCTATCAGGGAGCGGGATCCGCTTCCCTCTGGGACGCCGCAGCAGCCCCGGGACCGCTGCATCGCCGAGTCCTGACGTGCTGCAGCACCGAGAGCTCAGCTGTTTGCAAAACCTGCACCTTGAACCCTGGACAAACCTCCGTGTCCCTGGACAGGGGCCAGCGCCGTGCGGGCCCTCCCGAAACCCTGCTGGGAGCGGGCTCCAAGGGCGGCGCAGGGAGCGCGCTGGGACCGCACACAGATCTCCAGTCCTCCTTTCTTATTTAAGGAAAATGAGGAAAAATTCACACCACTGCTATCTTCTAGAGCTGCAAGAAGCATTTCTGGTCAGAGGCTGAGCTAGTTTGACTATTCACACAGCCAAAAAAGCTTCAGGAATGGGACAGAGTCTTCCCTAATCCTAATGAGGGACCAAGAAAGGGACATTTAAGGTTATTGAATCCAAATATTCCTTCTGATTTCCAGATCCAAGAGCCCCAAGGCTGCAACAGAGCATGGCAGCCACGTTCCAGCGCTGCAGGTACCACGAGGCACCTGCCAGCTCCTGCCCTCGGGACACCAATCTTCAGCCTAAGCCCCATATGTGGAGCTCTTCCCTAGTCAATTGGGCAAGGATCAGTCGCTGACCCATCATAACAAGGAATACTTCAGGTTGGAAGGCCCCTCTGCACGTCCCCCACTCCAGCGCACGTGCAGCCAGTTGCCCAATTTCAAGGATGGACATTAATAAAGCTCTGGTAAAACATCTCTGTGGGCAGCAGCTGCTCCAGGCTGTGCAAATGCACCCAGCCAGCGGGTCTTGGCTCAAGCTGCAGGACCCCAGTCCTATGGGACGTGTCTGCTGAGGACACCACGGGCGGCATCGCTCCCAGCCTGGCCCCCATCACGTCTCATTAAGCTGCTGCATTTCCAAGCTGGCCGTGGTACCGAGCGGGGCAGCTCGGCCGCTGCGCCAGCACAAAGCGGGGCCTGTTCCCGAGGGGCCTCACGCTCAGCTGGCGCCAGCCGTGGGTGCCCCGGCGCAGCGGGGACGCGGGCAGCCCGCCACCCCAGCGGCCCCGTCTGCCCCAAGCGGGACGGCACCATGGGGTACCAAGAGGGAGCTCCTTCCAGCGCAGCCGGTCAGCGCAGAACTGCACGCAGAGCCTGCTGCGAGACAACGGGGAAGCGAACGCATCGCCTCAGCGCCATCCCCAAGCCACTTTAAAGAGTGCTGGGAAATGCCCATCTCGGGCACGGGGAGGCCAGGCCCTGCTGCGCCGCTCTGCTCGTGTGTCTGCACTGCCCGCGGCGCCGCTCAGCTGGATCCCGGCGGATCTGCGCTCCTGGTGGGGTCCGGACCCAGCTCCACCGGCTGGGCGGCCGTCCCAGCATCGGCCGTGGGCTCTCGGCAGCGCGCTGGAGCAAGGGTAGTTACACAAGGCGTAATTCCCCGGAAAGCTTTTACTTACAGCTTTGCAGAGGAGAACAGATTAACCCAGCTTTCACATTCTGGGCATTAAATAGAAGTTTTTCACAAACTTCCTTGAGGTAAACTGGTCAAGGGAAGTTTTGCCATTTAAGGGAGAGCTCGTCCCTCTGGTAGCGTCAAGTGCCACCCTGCAGTGCGCACAGGGACATCCCCCTGCATGCAGCACGCGCCGCGTTGCCGCCTGCCTACCTCCTGCATACATGACCGCCAGCATGATGGAGGAGATCCACGAGACTTTGCTGCTGGATGCGTTGAAGATGACCTCGATCTCCTTGAAGAACACTGTGATGGACTTGGGGAAGGCGTAGGAAAAGCCAATGGAGATGAAGGCTCCGATGACCACGGCCCATCCCCAGCCGCCTTCGGGAGGGGTGTAGCCCACGGGGCCTCCGATGGCTGGCGGCATCTTGAGCGGAGCTGGTGAGGCCTCGGCAGGAGCTCAGGATCTGCAAAGGACAAAGCGCGGCCTCAGCTGAGCACGAAGACCTCGGCAGCAGCCTCACAGGGCTGGCCTGAAGGTGAGCGCTCAGGACAGCGCAGTGCGCCCCTCACAAGGCTATCTGGAAGCACATGCTCAGATGGTGCTGGCCTTTAAAAGCAGCAGGTATTTATAAGCAGCGAGCTGGAGACACGCTGTCCCGTTGTGAGCTGCAAAGGGCACACAAGGACCTTGCTGCATGGGGCCTGCCTGCGCTTGGCAGCTCTTCCCGCGCGGACGACAAACGCAGCCCCGCAGCCGGGCCCCGCGGCGAGCTGCGCTGCAAGCGCTGTCCTGTTCGCACAGCTTCTCCCAAACGCCGTTTCATGTGGATTTGCACTATCCCACGCAGGGAGCCCTCAGAACACCCTTCTACTCATCACAGCCTCATTAAGCAATATTGCAGCAAGCCCTCGCATATTCCCAACAAGCCTCCCACCCCGTGGCAGGGAAAGCCAGGAGTGCTCTAGGTCCTCCTGGATGGGGCCAAGGGCCAGGATCTGGCTCGCAGAGGAGATGAGATGAGCAGCCATGGCCAGCACTCAAACTGCCATGGAAATCTGAGGAAAACCACGAGATTGGAGCATTGCAGAGGGTAGGGAGACATCAGGACCGAGCCAACCGCCCCTCGGAGCAGGGTCAGCTGGAGCAGGTAGCTCGGGAGCAAATACACACCCAGGTTATTAACATGTTTTCCCTGATGAATAATAACAAGCCCTGCACACAAGCCCCAACACCTCCATGTCTGCAAGGAGCAGGCAATGTGTCATCTCGGCACGTCCATTATTCCTGCAGGCCCCAGAGGTCACGAGTTCCAGCTAAACTGAGCAGGGTCCGACCAAAGCACCAGGGTCCAGAGCCACTTCCAGGCCTGGGGAGCCCTCGACAGGGTCCGACAGCCCAGGCCGGGCCCTGCTCGGATAAACCACACGGCAGCAGCGTGGGAGCAGGACCCCAGGCTCCCTCGGACACAATCCTATCCTGCTTTCCCTAGGTTTCTACTCTGGTATTTAAGTTTTCAACTAAAAAAAAAAAAAGGGAAAAAGTCATCCTGGGCACCAGACCCTCCCTCTAAGGGCCCCCACAGAGGACAGCACTGTGCAGGGACAGCGCTGAAAGCAGAGGCCTGCTAAGCGGTGCAAACGCCTTATTTGCAGCACGTCTCCTTCCAGCTGGCCGCGATCACCATCGTGTCGAGCTGTGCACGTGCCAGCATCGCCAGCGCTCCCCACGCGCTCCTGGCTGCTGCTTCCGCTGCCTTCACTTCCTCCCTCGGCTCCCAGCACCAGGAAGGCCCGGGAGGAGGGTGCCAGAGTGAGAAACGGCCTGGAGCAGCCGATGGAGCACCCAGTGCCAGAGCCTGGCAGCACCGAGCACGGTGCAGGCAGCCTGCAGCCGCTACCTGACACCGGATTAGCTTTGCAAAAGCCACCCGACACCGGCTTCCCTGGCTGCCTCCTGCTTGGAGAGAGGCGTTTCCCTAAGCCTTTAAGACTGGTTTAGCCCGAGCCCGGTGCAGATCCCTCCTGCCGGAAGGTGCCCAGGCTGCACCCGGCAGCGCAGCGCGTGACCCCAGCAGCGGCCCCCAGCCACACCGCTGTCCCCGGTGAGGAATCATTTACGAGCGCTGCCCCGAAACGAGCCCCATTAGTTGAACTATGCTCAGGAGCCCGAGGAATCATTGATCCCGCTCGGACGCGGCTCGGTGCAGGGGAGCTGGGGCCGGGCGCATTGAGAGCGAGCAGCCCCAAGCCACACTCTTCCCGAGAGCACCGCATCGAAGCCGGGTTTGGCTGAGCGCTGCTGCCCGGCTGGACACGCCACCTCTGGCCATTCCTCGCTTTGAGTCACATCGAGTCCCCATCGAGCCCCACTGAGCTGTGTTTTTAGGAGACTGAACTGCCTCGTGCTGCGGCGCCCGCAGATCAGAGCTCCGAGAGCCGGGGGCAGCGCCTGGCGCTCAGCCCTGCGCCTTGCCCTGACTCATCTCGGAGCTGCACGGAGGAAGGGCAGCTCTGGAAGGTCCCGCTCGGCCTTCCTCTGGGCTTCCTCGCAGCCCCGCGCGGAGGCTTCAGGCGGAAGGGTAAGGCTGCGGTTTGAGCGGAAAGCTCCCCCCTCGCGAGGGGGCAGGCCGTAGTTATGGCATTTACAGCCCTGTTTTGGAAGGTTGCGACGTGTCAGACGTGTTTGGAAGTGAAATTCGCAGCTGCGCAGCAGCCAGCTCCACTTGGCCCTATTAGGGAATAAAATAATGATATTTGCAGCAATTAAGCCTGATGAGCCCAAGCAATGGCAGCAAATGTCACCTCGGCTGCACCGCAAGCCCTGGGCGGCCCCTCGCCCACGGGGTGGGCACAGAGGAGCCAGGCGGGGAGGAGCAAGTCAGCCCAAAACGGCCCCAAGAGACAGTGCCAGCTCCCAGCCCCTGCACGAGTGTCCTTATCCCCTCTGGACCACCAGCATTTCAGACACTTGCTTATGTAACGCTGCAAATCTCCATGCTGTGGAGAACCTGTCCCGGCGGGATCCAGGGGAGAGGAGCAGGGACTCGCAGCCGAGGGGCTGCGGGTGCCAGGCAGCTGCTCGGAGGCCCCTGCACAGCCCCACGTGGGGAAGGTGCTTCCCAGGCGGGCGGCCGGGCGCAGATACCGACTATCTCCATCCCGCACCCGCTGCGGCGCAGGATTGCGGTGCTCTGTGTGCACGTTCCCCTCATCCCCTATGCGGGGGCTGCTCGACCTGCACTGCGGGATCCTCTGCGCTGCTGTCAGCTCCGATCCATGGGGCTGCAGAGCAGCCAACCCTCCCGGGAAGGGCACAGCCGGCCTGGATGCTGGGATCCTCCACACAAGGCAGCTTCCTGCCCATCCATCAATCCAGGCAATGGCATCCTGCTGTCTGGTGTCATCCTGCCTGTCCCCAGCACCTCTCCGCACACAGTACAAGGACAGCACGCACCCTCCTGCGTCCTCGCAGGAGACGCAGCCTGCGGAGGATCGTGACCACAGCCCGAGCTGCAGAGACGCCCCGCGCGCTCTCCAGGGAGCTCAGCAAGCGCCAAGTCCGGCCGTCAGTCCTAGCACTACGTGCTACCCAGGGGCAGCTGGAAACATGTTTCTCTCCCCCATCCCAGCCCTGCAGAATCAGCTTCCCTGGGCCACGGCGTTTCAGCGCTCGCTAGCAGCTAAGTGCACTGCTCACCCACAGCGCGGCGCCGGGAGGTGCGTGGAGGTCAGCAAGCGTCCCGGGAGCTTGCGCTACCACCAGGAGCCACAGGCTGCAGCACCTGCAAGCTGTTGGGCGAAGAGCACTTTATAGCCTCGCATTTGGCCTTGTCCTGGCTGGAGGCAGGATGAAATGGAGATTGTTGCGAGCTAATGAGACACCACTTCTGCTGGGCATAAGCGGGTTTGCAGAATTAAGAGGGGCATGTAATTCCCGAGCGCGCGCAGCTGGGGGTTTAACCTGGCTGGACACAGCATACGTGACTGCCCGGCGCTCGCAAGGGCTCTGCACCAAAACAATAGTGAATTGAGCCCTGCTCAGCAAGCGCGCTGGCTCGCCCAGCAGCGCGGGAGGGTTTGCAGAGGCGGCGCGGGCCGCCCCGCGGGGAGCAGCGAGGGTTGCTCACCGGCGCGGGGCACGGCCAGCACCTCCGCAGACGCGATCCCGGCCGGCCTAGCCTTGGAGAGCAGACAGCAAGACGCCAGAAGGCAACTTTCTTGTGCTCATAAAAGAGGGAGCAAGTGGCAGCTGCCTTCACCCTTAACTCAAAATTGGATCCCGCAGCGGGCGCAAGCCCCGGCCTGCAGCAACTAGATCACAGGTACGGAGCAGCCCACTCACCAGCACCAAGCGAGCACCTACCTGGCAGGCGCTCGAGGCTTTCCTTGAGCACCAGCCACCATCGGCAGTGGCTGCCCGAGAGGACAGAGCCTTGCCCATCACTTGGGGCTCGTTGCCAACACAGCAGCTCCGTGCGGTTGTGCGCTGAGGGCTGGCACGTGTCCACCACGCCACCAACGTGGGCCACGCAGCTGGCCCCTTCCTCACTCAGAGCCTGCTCCCCACACTCTTGAATTGCTCATCCTCTTGGAAAGACCATTTTGCACAAGTTGGCTTACAAAGCAAGGCATTAATGTTGTCAAGAGCATGAAAAGGGAGAAAAACAAGCCACTGTTTCTCCACTCAAAACAGATGCATCGAAATCTTCCTTTCCATGCTGTCACACTCAGCTATTGCCACCAGCAACACTCAGCCTCTGTGAGCAAGATCCAGAGTCTTCCTAGCAAGAGAAAGACTGGGAATCAACTGTAAACACATTATCAACAAGATCAAGGGAAAAAGCCAGGCTTATTTCTGTGTTACAGCCCAGCAATAGTCACGACAAACAAAGATCCCTGCACAAAACAGCACACATGAAACAGCCTGGATGAGTTTGCAGGCAGGTTACAGGAATGTTATTTGAAATAGCTTTCGCAGATATCCTCGGGGCACACATCGCCTTTAATCCTGGGCGAGCACGGCTCCAAGAACAGCATGAGGTCAGCCCCAGGAGAGGCTCCCGCACCACATCAAGCGGCGCCAGCGCCCCAGGACAGGCTGCTCGTCTTCTCCCCAGGGCCCCGGCCTTGCTGGCGTGAGCAATGGGGAGGCACAGCCCTGCTGCGGCATTTTGCACACCCGGATCCGGGGATTCACCCAAAGCACGAGCCCCAGCCTGGGCAGCTTTGCAGGTAACGCGATCAAGAAACCCTCACACGGCCAAGCACCTTCCCTCTGACTCAGGAGGCAGCACAGACGCTGGTGACAACCCAGAGCTTGATGTGACAGCGCAGGAACTCGCTCCCTCCTGCGGCACAGCCTCACCGCCTGGGAACAGCCGCTCCGCAAGCAGCGGAGCAATCCCCCCGCAGCAGCTGCTTAGGGACCGTAATGCTCTGGAATGCTCCAAAGACGATTTGAGCCTTTC